GAAATTAGAAAACTAACTAGTTTGAGAAAGTCTGTGCTATTTTGTGGCGCCACTACTTGAAGGATTGTTTTATTTTCAATCATAAAAGCTGCTCTTAATGTTTACAAGGCAGTATTTTTCTGTTTACACATGATCACACCTCGTCAATTTGAAAGTGATGTTATAGGAGTTAAGTTGTCAGTATTGCAGGAGGGGAGATGTGATAATGAGGTTTGCCGTGAGTGAGATCAAAGGGCTATTTGTCGAAGGTGCGGCTGCTGGGTTTGTAGGGAAACATTTCGGTCGTTTACAATTCATCCATTAAGGCGCTTCGGGGAAGATGCAAATCTGGAACTCGTCAATTTGCAGAAACACAATCATAATAAGGATATGTACTGCTTATTAGTAATTATGGATCGACTGTGCGACATTGGCGACTATCTGTTCCCCATGCCTGGGCCTAGTTTAGTTCCTACATTTGGGTGTTAAGAGAGACATCTGACGAACTTGACGTATTCCCTTCATCGTAACTTTCAAACTCTGCCTGCCTGAACTTTTCTTCGTTAACAGGAAGAAACTGAGACGATTTAAAGGAATGCTACTATTATATTTTTTCTCGACCCGAAATAGAACCAGAGATCACTTCACAAGACGCTAGTGCGCTCTCCGTGAGCCATCCTAACAGAAGCTCGTAACAAGGATATAAGAATTTGTATTATATTTAGAGAAAAGAAGTTGCAAAATTACGTTGCGGAATCACGTACTTCGGAGAAGAATTCAACTTGAAAACACTGACTTAGGTGTATCAGGGCATCAATTGATGCCATTACTGTGTCTCTGACTTATGGTTTCCTAAGGTTTCCTAAGGATCGAGTCCCGATGGTGGCAAGCTTTTCGACACTACATAGGTAGGTCGAATTCAGCTGCAGTCTGTGGAAGAATTCTAGAGGCCGGCTTCTGTGGTCGGGAGTTTTTCGAGTTTTCTTCGATCAACACCAGGTGAATGCCTGTACAGTATCCTAACAAACGGGCCCCAAACCCCACACGATCTTTCCTTCCTCTTCCTTGTCTTATCCTCACCTCTTACTTATACACACACGTACATTTACGTGCACTACTCTACCACACATGCGGGGAGATTTGTGGGGATATTAGAGCTAGTCTCGTCTGGTGCCCACTTGTGGGAAATACCCCGCAGGTCGAGGGGAGTGGCGGCGCCATCGAGGAGGTTCGCCGCTACCTCCCGCAGTAAAACATGCACTCGGAATCAAACATAGTACGAAAACTCATGAAACCTGGAAAGCGTTAAACCAAGCCAGAGCATTTTTTCTTGAAATTAATTTGGGCTCAATATTTACGTTTAGAAAAGTATGTTAATTTCTTTTTTTCGTTTTGTTCAAAATGTATTGATTAGATATCGGTCACCTCATCAATTCATCAATCCAGTGCTGATCGATTCTTATACCTACTTTTACGTCCCATAAAAAGAATCGCTCTGGCATGTATAATATGGGACTGCATACGATCAAATAAAGTTTTGTGCAGTAATTAGAAAATAGTGTATAAATAAGAAGAAAAGATGCGGTATGGATTACAATGTTTGAAAATGATAATATTCTTAACAATACATATCTTTGGGTTAACCGACAACGGTGATATAGAGAGCCAGTATAAAGAACAAAGATCCATAACCTAACTTCCGTAAGTACAACGTTTACTACGCATGACGGCGGGGATGAGAGAGGTTGATAATACATAATGATTGATGAAAATGGTGTATTACGAATCAGAGTACGCGCTGGAATGGATGGCAGGGGAAACAGGGGTAATGTACTACCACCTGTTGCAACTCCGTTACGGATAGCACAAATTCCACTTGTCGCAAGGGTTATGTTTTTAGAACACAAATATAGTATCTGGTGCGTTGAATGCAAAAAAATCCACCTGAGAGAAGCAATAAAAAACATTGCAATTGAAACATTGCAAACATTGCAACTGAAATTGCAATTAATTTTCAAAAAGACGTAGTTTGTATAGTACATATTATTATCCTGTTAGATGATAATGATGACTGTGAGTGCTACACTTCGTTTATGAGATTAGACCTAAAAAGTAACTTGTATCTTCCCCTTTCCTGATCTAGTGGCCACGACAGTGGTTTGACGTTGCTTTCCACATAGTACATGATGGTGGGCGCCAACATCAGGGGGTGAATGATGAGGGAAGAATGATGATTATTTTTGTACTCTGAATTGTCCAAGATTCCCACAGGATGATGTGGCTCAGGACATCCACTGATGTCGCAGTTGACGTGCTAGATAGCCAGGTCGAATTCAGATGCTGAATGGAGAAAAATGGTTGCGGCTCGTTGCTCTGATCCGCGGTTTCTTCGATCAATACCAGGCACATGCCTGACCAATACCCCAACAAACGGGCGACGGATATCGCGCGATCTTCCCTTCCTCTTGCTTGACCTATCTTCTTACACTGACATGCACTACACTACGACGCATCAGTCGGAGAACTTGGCGGTTGTCACGGCTGAGGCAGCGACCGTATGCCTGGCTGGAGAAAACCTTGCAAGCCGTCGTGTTTGTCGGCGCTGGTTCTCGCCGCTGAACTGGAGAACTGGCACTAGCTATCATAAAAATATGAACTACACTTACGGATTTAATGATCATGTCGGTTGAAGTGTACGGAAACAAGAACTAATCAATTTAAGATTTCCAGTGCAGATCCGGCCGGTATCAAAATCCCGTCGCCAGAAATAACAAAGTATATACTAATTTCTTTCTTCTTTTTTATGATTTAACCTCCTGGACACAAAATCCGACTTTGATATATGGAAACTGGAACCCCAACATGACGTCTATTTTGTAAAAGAATCTACTGTCATGCACTTTGAAAATAACGAAGTATTGATCAAGAAATGTCTGTTACCAGTCACGCTACAACTCCGTTGCCTCCTTAGCATCGATGAAGAGGGGGTTTTAGAACCATGGCCGATATTCGACATGCGTCAAATTCATCCACTCTGTGAAGCGTCCTAGCAACCAGGTGCTCTGATCGGAGCTCTGATCTGAATTTTTTGTAATTGTTTTCCAATCAATATTGAGCAAATGGCCAATCAGTACCGTAACAAACTGGCGGCAAACGATCTTACCTTCCTCATCCTTCTACAACCCTCTCTATTTACAAAGAAATTTACACTTGCATGCACTTCACTAGTATACGAAATGCCCCTCCAGGAGAGACATTTGGAGGAAAAAGAGCGATTGTTGTCGCCTAGGTTGGCGCCAGATCTTACGTTCCAACGGCGGAGGAACAGTGCCCCTCCCGTGGTCTAACATGTAATGCACATACGAGACCAATGACTTCAGTAGTTGAAGCGCCCGGAATCAATACTAGATAACCTGCTCTATAACGAACTGGCTGAACGTCGCTCCTCCGCCGGGCATTTTTCTATTTAAAAGTTTAATTCATGAAAATTCACAGTAAACATATATTTTAAACACATTAGTTGCCCGCCCAGCATATCCACTTCCGGGAATAGGAAGTTGCGAAAAAAAGTATCGATTAAAATTCTTGCTTAAAATTTTTTTTCCATACAAAATTAGATTTATTAATCATACATCTGATGGAGGATGCTGTAACTATTCCTGTGAATGTTGAAAAGAAGTTATAGTAATTTAGTGTTTCATGAATATTCTCGTAAGTGTATTCAAACCGTAAATAAAGCTATTTTCTATGTTTTCTGAATATACAAGAGGTGACTGACAATGAAATGCTAATCGATTGGTCTTGTCGAAAGGAATCGAAAGACATATTGATCACGTCTGTAAATACCGTTAGTCACTTTAAACTCTGCACAAAATCTCAACAAAACACATTTGGTAGAAAAATTTCTTAACATTTTCTGGAACGGCAAGCCGAGAAATAATCAGTTCGTCATTAGGTGTCAGAGACACGTCGAATTACACCTCATTTGTCTGGGTAGGTAGACGGGAAGTAGTGTAAACATGAACCACAAATGGACGGACGTTGGAAATTCAATTACTACAGCAGTATCCTAAGAAACGGCGTAGGGACGACGCGCAATCTTTCCTCCCTCTTCCTTGTTCTATCGTGGCCTCTCACACACACAAAGACACATACATGCACAACACTTACCATACATGTCGCGAGCTTAGAGCACGTTGCTGTTGTTGCGGTGCCCCGCTGCTGGAGATACCCGAAAGGGGACGCCACCACAATCCGTTGTGTAGGTTGGCGCCGGATCTCACCATCCAACTAGGAGAGAACACCGCCACTTTCAGGGCGAAACACAGCACACTTACGTGCATAATGACCATTGCAGATGACGCGCCTGGAAACGCTAATGAATGAATCATTCGATCACTATATAAGGGTCCGCCGCCGCTCACAAGTGAAGTGCAGGTGAGTCAATTCCGTTCGGGTCGTCCCGAATGCAGCTGCGCCCGGGACCGTTGGGGCTCCGGTGGCGGGGGCGCCAAGGGAGGGAGGCATCGGCCCGGGTGCCCGGGCAAGGCGCGCAGGGCGCCGCCAGCCTCATGGCCCACCCTCCCAACTCACTTACCGAATCGGGCGTCTTTGAGAAGCAAAATGAACTCTTACAAAGCGACTGAATGCGTTATATTCTTTCCTTTCCCTTTACGCCGCCGTGACTCAGTATAACTTGATACTCAAGATTGCTGTGATCACATCAGTTTCTTCTCGAAATCTCTTTAGGTGAACGAGTTAGTATTGTTTTGTTTTGTTTGGTTTGGTTTGATTTGGTTTTGTTTGAGAACGGGGGAGAGTAACTGTTCTACGGATGTGCTAACCACGGACGAGAGCGCGAAACTACTAATTTTAATGGTCCTAAATGCGTGGCGCCAGCGTGAAACGCATTGTTAAAATGTAAACACAAACCACCTTGTCGCCATCGCGCCCTAGCTTAATTACCGCTCTCGCCCGACCCCCGCCGCCAGTTTTCAACAGTAATGCCCACGAGTGCAACAATGTCCGGCCCTCCGGGTGCCGGGGGCCGATGGGCAGGCGGCGTGGCGGGCGGCGACCACGGACGGCCGCGTGTGGCGGAGAGATCGATCGCCCGCGGCGCGGGGCGAGCGGGGCGGCCGCGCGGCGCGGCGTGCGGTGCCGCGGAAGGCCCGGCAGGCAGGCAGGCGCGTGGGCGGTGTGACGGTGACGGGCGAGCCAGCCTCGGCGCGCGCGCGCGCTCTCCGAGCACGCAGCGGGCGGAGAGGGAGAACCGTGCGGGAGGCGGCGCTGCGCGACGCGAGCGCGGGCGCGCGCGGCGGCGCGCCGCGCAACTACCGAGCGCCGACCGCGCCGCGCTGCTCCGTCGCGTTGCGGGCCTCCGCTCGCTCGCTCGCTCGCTGCAGCAGCCGGGCGGCTGGGCGCGACCGGCTCCCGAGCGCCGCGCGCGCGCGAGCGCTCCCTCGCTCGCGAGCGAACGCACGACTCGCCGCGACCGTCGGACGCCGAGCGCTTTCTGTCTCTTTCCCGCTCAGCCGTCGACGCCGTCGGCGCCGCTGACGGGCGCGTCCCGTGCCGCGAACGCCGCCGCGTCCGTCGCCGCCGCCGTCGTCTCCGTCGCCAGCTGCGTCGCCTGTCCAGGTGGCAAGCGGCGTCGGCTGCGGCGCCGACGCGCGGCCCCGGGCTCGTGGGGATTCCCCGAGCCGCCGGCCGATCTTCCCGCGCGCGCGAATGTTTGTCGAGTGCCGCGCGCCTCCAGCGCCCGTTAGGTCCCGCCGCAATATGCTGTTTGTTGTGTGTCCATTTCGGTTTGAGATCCCTCCAGCCCTTTGGCTGCCGTCTGAAAGCATCTCTTGTGTTACGCTGCGGTGCCTTTCTTCTCTTTCCCTTTCTAGCCCTATATTTAATGAAGTGTCTCACTTCAGGTGTGAATGAATTATTTTTTGTGTTCTGCATCGTATTGCATGATTTATTACGAACAGTACTATACGGATCTCTGGCGTAAACATTTTATATGCAATGTCTAGAATTGTTTGGCTGTTTTTGATATATTGATTAAAACAATAGTTTCAGGACTTTTGGGTGTTATCATTCTTTACCATTTCTATTAACATCAGGATATTGCATTGGAAACAACACTGACCAACAAGAACATGAGTTTTTGAACTCGCGTGTCTGTACGCATCATCAACTAGTTTCACCACCAGCCCTGCTGATGCTTGGGTATAGTTATGCAGAAAATATTTTCTGTGTTCAAATCCTACTTTGCCATTTTAAACGGGACATTTATAGCCGTGAAATTAATGTACTCCGTAAATTCTGATGTGAACATGTTTCATTTCTTTTTCATTAATTGGAAGTTGGTAGTGATTTTAGTAACCTCTGACATTGCGCCCTGCTACCGTTTACTTCTGCGGACGTCCATTTTATTACTAAACATTCTTATTAATCCTGTATGATAATAGAAAATAGTATTTGTGTTTGCGTGTATAGTAATAATAACAACAATAATGGTAGTAATAATAACAATAATATATAGACTGATTGGACATTTCTGGAGTTTACTAATTTATGAATGAACGGATCACATGATCATCGGAGATGTCTAATCCTTTAGGGTCTAGAAGAAGAAAGGGAAATAGGAGGATGAAGAGAGTCCCGTTATGTACGTGCTGACCTTGCACCGTTTGTGAAGGTGGTGACGTGGGATGGTACCAGAAATTGATTGGAGGAATCACTGATCAGAGAATCCAGCTCTTTCCGATAGTTTATCGTTCAACTCTTTTATTTGTAGTCGAAACTCCAGTACAAACTGAACTGGAATTCTACCTTTAAATCTACTTAAATACCTTTAAATCTACCTTCAAATTTACCTGTATCCTTGTATTACAGTATATTTGTACTTTAGATTTTCAATGTATAATTCTATAACAATAGCTGATAGTTGAAGGGAGTAAAATTTCGTGTTATCATAATTCATTTTATATACAATTTTAATTCGCTTACGGTGATAGTGATGAGTGGTTAAATGAGCGTTCCTACTAAGGAGAATGGCGATCATTGAAATTGCTAATAAGTTTTGTCTTACTTTTGCGACATGAAATTTAATAGATCCATCTATCCTAAAAGACGTTTCTTTGAAATGTATTAATCATTCTAAGGAACCAGCCTTATCATTTATGACATTTTTATTTACCTAAGTCTATTATTTATCATAGTCTTATATTATTTATAATATGTCTTTCCCAAATAAAGTAATTAATTAGACCCAGAAATCGTGATACAATAATATTAATTTACTATTAGTATAGGAAAGATTGGACTAGCTGTGATCGTAACATATTGAGATGGGAATACCAATTTATTACAGTTATTTTGAACTATTTATTGATATTTGGCCAATATTTTTGTAATAAAAATGTTATAAGAAAGAAGAATAGTTCAAAAGTATTGTATTAATTACATGCTATATCTTAGTTTCCCATATTTCTCCGAGACTATTTCTCAGTATCAGTTCGGATAAATGTAGGTTCCCTGAAACGAATGCTAAAATCCACCCACCATACTTGCATGAGTAGTGGGTCGTCTAATTGTAGGGAGATAGCAGCTTGTTGTTGAAATGCAAGCTGACTCCTCCTTTGACGTAGCTTCTTGCGGAGATCTCTCTCCCAACATCATCTAGTCCACATCGCGTCTGTCACTCTGTGATGTCAATGTTGTCTCGCGCACGCGAAGTGCCTCTTGTCTCAGACTGGTTTATACGCTTAGTTCACCAAAAGGGATGATGCAGATGGTTGTGGTAACGTGGGGCTAGAGCTGGAGAGTGGGGGAGAAGAGAGTGGGGGAAGGGTCTGAATGAGATTGCTCTCTTAACGATTGTAGTTTTCAGGGATGGCCGCCATTCAGTACCTATCATCGCGTTCCATTCTCATTCGGAGGTCTGCAATTAGTGTGCTGTCGAATGAACTTTAACTGTATTCCTCATTTGGTTCACTTTCTACTGAACTGGTTTCTGAGTAAATAAGGGTTATAATGTTACCGTCTAGGATGAAATCAATCGCCATGCGATAAAAATGCATTTAGTAGCCTTCTTCTAATTTAACTGAATTTCTTTCTGCGTTTATTAAAACGTAAGGCTACCAAACAACTAGTGATATGCTACGCAATTAATGAATCTGTGTTTCTAAAACGTAGGGTGAGTGAAGTTGGCACTATATCGGTTACGTTCAGAGGAGCAAATATATTTACGTCCGCTAATCCTCTTTTTATAAATACAGTGGCAGTGTTCTCTTGTTTTAGTGTCGTATATCTTAAAATGTACCTTAAAGTACTACGGATACTGATTTTTAACTGTGCCATCATATTGCGTCTATGTATTTCACTACGTGTGTCACAGTATTCTTGGTCACAAAATCACGTGTTACATCTGCAAACTCCGAGATCCCCTCAAACCTATTTCATCATACATCTTCACGAGTCTATTCATGCCCATTGAATCCCACCTCTGTAATTCTTGCGTTATGTTTATTTTTGCGTGCAATTTTTTCAGTTTTAAACGTTGCAAATTCGCCTCTGACTTAATTTCGGGCTTTAAAACTCAGCATGTAATTTGTTAAATGTGAAAGGAAATTCTTACAGTTATCTGGTTGAATTCTCCAATTACTCTTACCGTCTTTCTTTTTATTTTTGAAGGTAGAAGAATTTATAATAATTGCAATTATTGTAATGAAACGTTTCAATATTCTGTTTCTCTAAAGTTTTTGTCAGTCTGAAGTCTGTTTTTTATGTTTGAGTTCTTTCTGCTTTTACTAAATTTTTAAGCACTTATTTAATGCGCCTGTAACATAATTCCTTGTGTCCTCGAAATAGTAACCATTAGGGCTAGTGGAGCAAGATATAAAATTACAGATTTTTGTATATCGTAAAGAATGCGTATCGTTAAGAATATGATACTTCAAAATATTTTTCGGATAGATAGTTTTCGGAATAGTAATGGAAAATTAAAAACGACCTAATCGCTATGAAATGTGACGCTACTGCTGTGACATATGACGAGCTATTCGGTTCACAGTTTTATTGGGTTGGGTTTAGATGGTCACAGAAATTGAATTTTCAAAATACAGCAGCATTGAGTACAACAACATACAACCTCAATTAATTTTTTTCATTCGCAGCTCTCTTTGTTTTTCATGGTGGCTCGCGACAAAAATTGCAATATTAAATAATTTTTATAAAGTGGTCTCTTTACAATTTTTAGATTGCTTTGCGATCGTTTTAAATAAACTTCAATTAGCATATAGGATACTTTTAGTAACTCATTTTTGACAAATAAACTAGAGGAGACGTGAAATGTAGATATAATAGATGACTACGAAGACCGAAAGAGAACCACGAAACCGAAACATCGGATTTTTGACTCTTCATAAAATTTGAAAGGCTTCTCGGAAACAGTGGACCAAATCTTCGGTACACGCGCTGTTGGATTCCGAGAATGCAGTGCGTCTAAACGACAATACAAATTAAGGGGACAAAATTGGATTTTACTATGGGATTTAGGAACTAGAGGCAACGTTTGCAAATAGTCAAAAATTTCAGCCGGTGGACCAGTCACTGTCTCCATAAAAACGTTCCTGTAGAGGACCACCAACCCAATTTTAAAATCTGTTGCTAATAATAACCTTAAATTTAGTATGAAAGAAATTACTGTGCTTGTACTATGCTTTATAATGATAAAGGATTTTTTCCATAATTCTTGACAGGTTACTCACAGTGTACACAATTCATCTGATTTATTTGCTCTCGTTCTATATTCTATTGCACTTTCTTTTGATTTTTTTTACTTCAACCCGCGCTTGTATTTTCCAATAATGTTTGGTCACTCTTTGTTTATTCAAACGCGGTTATCACTGATTTGTAGGCACTTGTTTTGTATAAAAATATTATGAAATGATTAGTTATGTTTTAGACATTACTATAAGTAATTAGAGCTTATTTCTTTCTTGACACAATAGAATAGACAAATATAATTTGTATCAACAATACCAGCGAAGGCCGGATCCCTACATAGTCAGTTCTCACATTTGGGTTGATGTAAAAGTTAAACAACTGCGGACATTTACACACTGCCCTACTCTCTTCCTCCCCTATGTAACAAGAAAAAACATTATCATCTATTCTATGTCATAAGTATCCATCATAGTAAAAATTGGTTTTCGTGTGAAACTTTGTCTAAATTAGTTCGACATAGCCCTAAATACATTTGCATGTAATCGTAAGTAGTTGCCTGGATTTCGCTATATTTTGTGGCTTATTTATTTTTCTCTTTAGAATATGAATAATGACGACGCGATAACGTTAGTTTTGCAATGTTAGGTTTGCAATAGTTAATAGATAGCAAACCGTTCGTTTCTAGAGGAGATTTGGCGGTGAAGTCAATTAAGAAATATTGATGAATGAGAGAGACGACTGGGAAGAAATGAGGAGTGGCAAAAAATGAAAAGCGAGCCCTGTGTGGAAACCCATACATCCGATCATGACGGAGACATAACGCCAAGTACCCAACTGGGTTCCGGAGACGTGCCTTGGCTTTCACAGGCGATCACTCCGCATGTTCGCAAATTCGCACTTTCAGAAAGAGTACGGTTTCCGGAGGATCAGTTCAAGTGAGAGCCCGCCGCCATGCACATTATCCCTCCTTCTTCTCGCCGCCTTCTCGTCGTCTCCTGTCATCCCC